CTCTGCCAGGCCCAGTGCCCCGATGGCCCACGGCCCCTGTGCTCTCGCCTCTGTCCCCATGTCTGCCCCTCTGCCCGTGGCCAAGGGCAGTGCTGACTCCCCGGTTTCCCAGGGTGTTCAGGGGCTACGCGGAGAGGAAGCGCCGGAAACGGGAGAATGATTCCGCGTCCGTAATCCAGAGGTAGGGCCTGCCAGCCACTCGCCACCAGGGTCCGTCTCTTGTCGGTGCTGGTCTGGCCTGGGCCCTGTGCCCGTTTCTCAGCAGCCCCGCACCCATTCGTGGCGTCACTCTGAAGGCAGGCGGGCCAGCTGCTCTTCTCACCCTCCCCCGCCCCCAGGACTCCCCCCTCTTCATGGCTCCTCCTGTCTGTTCCTCTGTCCTGTCCGTCCACGGCTGGGACAGTCACCAGTGGGGGCGGCTCTTCTGGGCCCGTGTCACCCAGCTCTGTCCACGAGGCTCTGCCTCACCACGCCCCAGACAGCGGCCTGCTGGTGGTCCGTGTGCCCCACGAGGGACAACTTAGGGCTCCGGGGTCTGCCCTTCTGCACCTGTGACACAGCTGGGCTCTCTGTCCTCTGTCCGGGCTCTTCTCAGGGGCCCCCTGGCTGTCCTGTGCTCCACACAGGCTCCCTGCCCTGGGCCGGGAAGTGGGGCCACCACACCCTCGAGGCCCAGGGCTGGCAGGCCACCGCGCCTGGGGAGGGACTGACCGCAGGGCGCTCATGGGGGTGAGGGGTCAAGGCTCACTGTGTCTTCTCTCTCCCGCTGCCCCTCGGCCGTGCCTCCAGCATCTCGTAAGTACCCTGTGGACCTGCAGCCTGGGGCAGGCAGTTGTCCCTGGAAACCCCCCCCCGCCCCCCGCAAATAGGTTCGGGCAGGCCAGCCACTGGGCCTCGACTTCTCTGCCAGGCCCAGTGCCCCGATGGCCCACGGCCCCTGTGCTCTCGCCTCTGTCCCCATGTCTGCCCCTCTGCCCGTGGCCAAGGGCAGTGCTGACTCCCCGGTTTCCCAGGGTGTTCAGGGGCTACGCGGAGAGGAAGCGCCGGAAACGGGAGAATGATTCCGCGTCCGTAATCCAGAGGTAGGGCCTGCCAGCCACTCGCCACCAGGGTCCGTCTCTTGTCGGTGCTGGTCTGGCCTGGGCCCCCGAGGCCCCCGCAGACCGGATGGGGGAAGGGCGGTGGCGACCACTGGCCTGGCCCTGCTCTGGGGACGCAGCAGGCAGGAGAGGGCACGTGGCCTGGGCCCCAGGCTTTCGTTTGGGGGCGCAATGAAGCCAGAGCTGTGGGGTCAGTGGCCAGGCTTGACCCTCCCGGCCCTCACCTCAGATGTGGCCAGGAGGCCGCCTGTCCGCTTTGGAAGCCGGCCTTGTCCGGAGGCAACGGGGAGGGCGCTGCCTCCCCTGCACCAGGGGATGGAGGGGCAAGGGAAGGCCTGGCATTGTGCCTTCGTCCCGGCAGCTAAGGGAGGTCTGGCAGGGCCTCAGTAGGAGAGGGACTGGGGGGGGTGTGCCTCCGGTGGGCACTGGGCCAGCAGGAGGGTCCGGGCTGGGAGGGCA